TATATATATATATATATATACACACCACATTGAAGAGTACTTTTTTTTAATATATGAAATTTATTGTCAAATTGGTTTCCATACAACACCCAGTGCTCATCCCAAAAGATGCCCTCTTCAATGCCCATCACCTACCCTCCCACAAATTTAATTTTAAAATATAAAAGAAGCACACTCTTCATAACACTATGAGCAAAATGTTTGTTTGTTTTTTTTTAAAATGTATAGAACAAAGACTGGTAAGGAAAACAAATATCCAAGATTTTTAGGAGTAGCTATATTTGGATAGTGGTATTAGAGTGACTCTTTGTCACATGTCTCCTCTAACACTATGATTTTATAATATTACTTCTATGGTTCTTAAAAAGGTACAGCACAGACATACATTTTCTAGAGTCATACACTATAATTTGTACTACAATCCAAAGTAAAAACAGAAATACAAGTTAACACTTAAGAAAATGTCCACTATACTTTTTATTGAATGTTTTTCAAAGGAGATAAAATAAGTATAAATTTAAAAAGAAAATTTCGCCACACTTACTAATCTGGTTGAAAAGCCACAGCTGCATCTTACTTTATGACAAACTGACTGTTTCATCACTTTTGCATCTGGGCATCTACTTCTTAATGGTCATTTCTGAAATAAAGATGTAGTCATTAAGAACACATTATAACGAAAACACAAAATCTTTAAGGACAATTTTCTAAATTTTAGAGTCTACAAGAGAGGGAACTATCAAAACAATTCTTGAGCAACCTTCTAATAAAAAACATTAACAGGGCTGACGATGAGGTGAGAAGGATGGAATATAGGCTATCGTCCCACAGGACCAGAATTATACATTTCTGTTACACAGACTAAGTATAAAGATCTATAATTCTTCAGTCCTCAATGCCTTCCACTCACCAGCAGGGTCTTGCAACTCCCTAAGAATGCCATTTACAGACTAGAAAAGGGAAAAAGGAAAATGAAGAGGAACTCTAAAACCCCACATTTGAAAACAATAAATGAATTATACAGGTTTGTCTATTTCCCCTTGCATCTTTTTTTTGAATGTTTATTTATTTATTTTGAGAGAGAGAGAGAGAGAGAGAGAGAGAGAGAGAGAGAAAGCACGAGCAGGAAAGGGGAAGAGAGAATAAGAGAAAGAATCCTAAGCAGTCTCCATCCCACACTGTCAGTGCAGAGCCTGATGCAGGGCTCGATTTCGTGAAACATTAGATCATGACCTGAGCCGAAATCAGAAGTGGGACACTCAATGGACTGAGCCACCCAGGCATCCCAATTTCCCCCTCACATCCATAGAAAGTAAGATCCACAGAGAATTTTTACTGGTTTTATTTACAGATATCTTTTAAGCACTTAAGGCAATGGTTGTCATGCAGTAAGTGCTCAGTAAATATTTACTCAAAGAATGAATAAACTGACAAGTGATTTAACTTTAATTGATGAAATATTTAATCTGGTAGTATTTCAAAACGGCGAAGTCTCAAAATGCCATTCCCTCCACATATACACCATTGATATCAATGCCAACTACATCATCATTATTGTTTCTTCCCCCAGTAAACAAAGCCCATAATTAAAAGATAAGACATGAGGGGTGCCTGGGTGGCTTACTCAGTTAAGCGTCTGACTTTGGCTCAGGTCATGATCTCACAGTTTGTGAGTTCAAGCCCCGCACTGGACTCTGCAATGAGAGCACGGAGCCTGCTTCAGATCCCTCTGTCTCTCCCTCTCTCTGCCCCTCTCCCACTCTCTCAAAAATAAACAATCAATCAATCAATCGATGCTACCAGCCTTCGAGGAATTTGTAATTTTGTTTTTGGAATCTTTGGGGAAAACTCCTAAAAGGGAACTGCTAGACAAATGATTGCTAAATGTTGCGGGTGGGGTATTCTTTTTTTTTAAACTTGTATGCTCTTGGGGCGCCTTGATAGCTCAGTTGGTTAAGCATCCAACTTCAGCTCAGGTCATGATCTCACGGTTTGTGGGTTTGAGCCCCGCATCGGGCTCTGCACTGACAGCTCAGAGCCTGGAGCCTGCTTTGGATTCTGTGTCTCCCTCTTTCTCTGCCCCACCCCTGCTCATGCACATGCACGCACGCTCTCTCTCTCTCAAAAATAAATAAACATTAAAAAAATTTAATAAAAAAAAATGATCAACAGCTGCTAAAACCATTAGGTAAAAAATTGATGGGAAACCTCATAATGGCTAAATCCAGTCGACAAAACTTGAACCCAGTGATTAATCTTAACATCATTAAAAATGGGTCAATCAAACATTATGTGCATAAATACTCATCACTATCCATTACATATTCATCCCAGGAGCTCCAGTTTCAAAAGACATCCATAATATTACCACTTTCAACACTTCCAATCTGACCACCATGGTCCATGCCACCTTAGTTCTCATCTGCATTACTCTAATAGTTCCTATTCGATCTCCCAGTCTCCCCCCTCTGCTCATCTCAACAAGTCAATCAGATTAGTCATTTTCAAAAGAAAGTCAGATCATATCATTCTGCTCAAAGCCTCTAATTGAGTCCATCTTACTAGCCTAAAAGCCAAAACCCTACAACAGCCATAAGGACCATGATTTGAAATATCCCTTCCACATCTCTCTAACCTCGTCTCCTACTACTCTCCCCATTGTTCACTCCATTCTCGCCACATTGGCCTCTTTCCTTTCCTTAAACACTTCAAGCACATTCTCACTTCAAGGCCTCAGGACTTGCATTTCCCTCTGCCCAGAAAAGCAGATACGGGTCTTATACCTCCTCTACTTCCTCTAGGACTTGGTTTTTACAAGTTATCAAGTTATCTCATCAAAGAGACAAGTCCTGGTACCCTAGGCAAGCCAAAATATCTGTCTCTGATTTTCTTATCTGGCATAAAATATGCAAGGAGAAATATTCTGGAGATAATAATCATCTGAAATATGAACATCACCAATTACCATATCTTTTGTGTCTAAACATCTGTAAGACTATATTGTCCCTTTTATTTTTTTAATTTTTTAAATATTTATTTTTGAAAGAGAGAGACAGTACATAGGGGACAGAGAGAGAGAGAGAGAGAGAGAGAGAAAGACAGAGAGAGAGAGAGAGACAGACAGACAGACAGACAGAATCCAAAAGCAGGCTCCAGGCTCTGAGCTGTCAGCACAGAGCCTGATGTGGGGCTCGAACCCACGAACCACGGGATCATGACCTGAGTGAAAGTTGGACACAACTGACTGAGC